TACATTAAAATATATAAATAAAATTCTAGGCTTATAATCTAATTATATAGAAACAGTAAAAATAAATAGGAAATTTGACAATATATAATAAAATATATATATACATATATATATATATATATGACTCTTTTGTGGAAACACCCATGTAGAATATGACGATCAAAAGTTGTTTTGTCCATAGTTTCAATCCTGGTATATATATATATATATATGTATATGTATATCATAATTTGTGCACCATAATTGACTTGTCAAATACGTGTATTTATATTGATTATATCATAATTTATATTTACTGTTAGATTTTTATATAATATAGTTTTAAACATTAATTTATCAAATTATAATGTTGCATATTATTGGTAATTTGGGAATTTACATGGTAATTTTTCTACCGATAAACGAAAAATTGATCGTGCAAAATAAATTAATTATAAAAATTCATAATTGGAGTGAATTTATTTGAAACTAATTTTATAATATTTATTTTAAAATGTTATATAATTTCATGTAATATATATATATATGTGTGTGTGTGTGTGTATATATAACTATTAAGCACATTCTTCAGTTTTCTTCAATGTGTCAAATGGGATGGAGATTTATAAGGTCAAGTCTCAAAATGATGGATAGGGGGATTTAGGGTGCCCTCATATTTGACTGGTTTTTATGGGAAGCCAACAGGCTGCAATACCTGTTTACAATTATATATATATATATATATATATATAATCATGATATTTCTCAAGTTGTATATATTTATACATATCCAAAAAAACCCACTTAAAAATATTATATATATATATATGTATATATATTCCCTTGTTTAACATTGACATATCCAAAACTTGATCATGATTGTATATATTTATACACATCCAAAAAAAACCCACTTAGAAATATTATATATATATATATATATATATGATCATGATATTTCTCAAGTTGTTTATATTTATACATACCCAAAAAAACCCACTTAAAAATATTATATATATATATATATATTCCCTTGTTTCACATTGACATATCCAAAAATTGATCATGATTGTATATATTTATACACATCCAAAAAAAACCCACTTAGAAATATTATATATACATATATATATATTCCCTTGTTTAACATTTACATCTATTTTGACAGCTATGAACATTCAAAGTGGGTCAATTAATTTTTCAATGCTAATAAATCATATAGTCAATTAAATTAATATTTTGCATATAATATATAGTTGGGTTGGTGAAAATATATATGGATTAGATTAAGGTGGCAGCATTTTAGTAAACAAATCTCGTATTTAATCAAATAAAATAAATATAGAAACGTACCTGAATCTATAATAGAATAAATCTGCTCATTCTGCAGTATATATTTTAAATTAGCATGTATTCTTTTGAGTTATTATATTTTTTTTTATTTCCGGTGAAAATTTTTACGTATAATTTATGAACCATAACTGCTTATTTATAAGCAAATGGTGCATGTAATTTTTTTATATTTATAATTTGACCCATCATAAAATTAAAAATTAAAAATTTAGTATCTATGTATAAAATAAAGTCTATATTTTAATTTGATATATTAAGACTTAATATATATATATATGTAACCGTATTGAATCACTTCTAATCGGACTTAATTAATCTGATAGTCTTTGATGCATGATAATTTATACGTATAAATTCACACGATAAATTTAAAAAATCCAACAAGACTCACCGTAGTCTTAATAAAATTAATTTCATTATAAATAATAATTATATATATATATATATATACACGTGTAATAAACGTGAAACCCTATTACAATCATGGGATTAGAAAGGATCGTTTAAGTGAAATTATGTCTTCTAAATCATGATTATAATTGACTAATTAACTTTTTTGACTTTTTACCACAGTACATTTTTTTAAGATAAAACATTAAAATTTTATTTTATTAAATAATTATTACTCTGTTCTTTTTGGAAGCTTGAATTGTATTAAGTCAAGTCAATGGTGTTTACTATTCATTATTTGGTAAATGTAGATAAATTATATACAAACATATAACCAAATAAGAAATATACGTGAATATATATATATATATATACAATTCATGGAAGATACATGAGTTGCCAATGTCTTAATTTGTAGCAATCTCTCTTAACCAGTCCTTAAAAAAAGAAATCTTCCCACAAATGATGACGTAGCGTATACATATATATATATATTTATATATATATATGTTTTCATATATGTAAAGGTACGTGCATGCATAATCCTACACGGTTTCCGCTTTCCACAGTACACGTCGTTATAGAAAAACGTTTCTTCATGTGGACTAAGTGCATTAAAGTTTACACGAGCTTAATTAGCCGCCATTAATAGTGACATACATACATACATACATACATATATATATATATATATACACACACACAAACATATACAATAACATGTATATATATATATATATGTAAATTCTTCCACCAAGTTGGCGAAATTTTTTTCTGATTCTCCTAAACCCTTAATTTCTCCCAGTTAGAAAACTGGGTTGGTAATATTTTGAAAACTCACATGTAAAAATCCAAACACACTGTTCACAATTCCAAACCAAATGCGGCCCCTGGTTTTCTATGTTTTTGACTTTTATCAGCCCGCCACCATTTCATATATAAACACTTTCAATCCCACATCTCCAACTCAACATTTTCTCGGGAAAATTCTTACAGTCTTTCCATCTATCTCCAGTTTCTTTCCATTTTCTCTCATACCCACCTCTCAGAATCTCAAATTTCATTCTGGGTAAGGTTTAGATTGTTGAAAAATTTGGATTTCTGCACTTTTTTTTTTCTTTTTTTCTCTCTCAAGTATATGCATTTTTTTTTTCTGTTTGTTTAACGAGAAAACTTTTATTATGATTCGAGATTTTCATAAAAAGAATTTCCCAACAAAGTATTTTCTACTGTGAAAATCGAAAATCTAATCAATTAAATCCGACACTTGTTTTATTAATTTTAAAATTTATTTTGAAGTTAATTGAAGTAGAGGAAAACTAAAGTGATCACAGTTCATGGATTTATCACAGAGTTTTCTTTTCCGCATATTGTGAAAAGTCAAATATGCCCATATGGATACATGCATGCACTCGTACATGTATATATATGTGTATGTGAATGTGTGTACGCGTATATATATATATATATAAAGTTGCATCATGTATCAAAGAAATTGGAGCAATTAGAATTAACCTTTTCTGCAAAATTCCTACCTAACTCCCCACTTTAATCTTCATTTTCAGGTTCATCACCACTCATTTTCAAAACTTTTAACCTGAAAAAACTCTGTTAAAACCAACAAGAACATCAGAAGCTGAACCAAGGACAAGAAGAATCCATCTATGGATCCTCACCAGCACAATCAAGCTCAGCACAGCAAGCACGAGTCATGGTCCGGAACCGACAGCCCCGGGAGTACCAAAGTAGGCTACAGCGGACCCATGAGCGGACCACTGGTGACCAACAAGACCCGAAACAGCAGCAAGAAGAGCGCGAGATTCAAGGACCAAAACGACTACGTAGAGATCACTCTCGACGTGCGCGACGACGCCGTTTCGGTGCAGAACATCATAGGCGCCGGCGATCAGGAGACGGCGCTGCTAGCGAGCAGACTCGAGCAGCAGCCGCGGGCGTCGCTCGGGTCCCAACTATCATTCCGACTAAAGCAAGTGTCGCAGGAGCTGCGGCGGATCACTTCCAGCAATGGCGCCGGCGGGGTCCGGGCGTTTGACAAGGTCGACAGGTCGAAGTCCGGTGCGGCTCGTGCCCTCAAGGGGCTTAAGTTTATTACCAGAAGCACGGTGGGCAGCGGCGAAGACTGGTCCGAGATTGAGAAGAGGTTTGAAGCTTTGGCTGTTGATGGGTCACTGCCTAAATCGCAGTTTGCGCAATGTATAGGTATGGGGAAAAATGACATGGGTGGCGTTTGGATGGATGGAAAATGAAGGAAAGTTGTTCACTTTCATGGTGTTTGGATGCAGGGATGAAGGAATCCAAGGAATTTGCTAGTGAGTTGTTCGATGCATTGGCTCGTAGGAGAGGAGTCGAATCAAACTCAATAAGCAAGCAGGAGCTACGTGTGTTTTGGGAGCAAATTACAGATCAGAGCTTTGATGCCAGGCTACAAACTTTCTTTGACATGTAAGAACAAGTATCTGAGAATTTTGATTGTTAATTACTCAATCAATCCTTCTTTTAGTATCTGAATTAAATTTTAACCAGGGTGGACAAGAATTTAGATGGTCGGATAACAGAGGAAGAAGTGAAAGAGGTAAATTTCATTTTTTGAAGTTCTTGATGCAAATGAAGATTCTTGGAGTTTTAATTTTAAACCCCGACCCATTTTTTTAATTAACTTACAAAACTGTTTACTTTTTAAATTGTAGATTATTGCTTTAAGTGCTTCTGCTAATAAGCTGTCAAAGATTCAAGAAAGTGCAGAGGAATATGCAGCGTTAATCATGGAAGAGCTTGATCCAGACAATCTGGGATACATTGAGGTCTGTATCCAAACACCCCTCTTTGGGATTTTCTCAACAATAAATTTGACCCAAAATGGGTCCAAACACCACCCAATCTGGGCTTATGTCCAAAATCTAACCCAATAAGCTGAACTAAACAGAGGAGAAAAACCCAATTTGCCAATCAGACATCTAATTAACTTTTCAAATGAATGCAGCTTTACAATTTGGAAACACTACTTCTCCAAGCTCCAAGCCAATCAGCCAATTTGGCAACAGATAGTCGGGTGCTAAGCCAACTTCTGAGCCAAAAACTGGTACCCACCAAGGAGAGGAACCCAATCAAGAAATGCTTCAAGGGCCTGACCTACTTTGTTGAGGACAATTGGAAGAGGATCTGGGTTATGGCTCTCTGGATTGCAGTTTGCGCCGGCCTCTTCGCCTGGAAATTCATTCAGTACAAAGACCGGGCTGTGTTCGATGTCATGGGCTATTGTGTCACCACCGCTAAGGGCGCTGCCGAGACCACAAAGCTCAACATGGCCCTAATTCTCCTCCCGGTATGCAGAAATACCATTACTTGGCTCAGAAGCAACACCAAGTTAGGAGCCATTCTGCCCTTTGACGACAATATCAACTTTCACAAGGTACATTTTGTTGCAGTTTAGTAAAATTAAATCATGTTTTTAGTAAAATTAATATATATTACGTAGGTCGAATTAACATATATTACATTGTACTGAAAAAAAAAAATGTATTCTTATATTAACATATCCTTTGGATCAAAACAATGCAGGTGATTGCCGCAGGGGTTGCGATCGGAGTAGGGTTACATGCGATAGCGCATTTGACGTGTGATTTTCCGAGACTATTACATGCTACCGACGCAGAATACGAGCCGATGAAGCAGTTTTTCGGTGAGAAGCGGCCTCCAAACTACTGGTGGTTTGTGAAAGGAACAGAGGGTTGGACTGGTGTTACAATGGTGGTACTCATGACTATAGCTTACATATTGGCTCAACCTTGGTTCAGACGTAACAGAGTAAACCTACCCAGATTCTTGAAGAAGCTCACCGGATTCAACGCCTTCTGGTACTCGCATCATCTCTTTGTTATCGTCTATGGTCTCTTCATTGTTCACGGATACGTCCTCTTTCTCTCCAAGGAATGGTACAAGAAAACCGTAAGTATCTAAAAACCATATATATAATATACCTTGTACGTCAAAACTTTATCTCGTGTAAATTTCAGAGATGACCCATACATATATATATATACATGTTTTACAATGTGCTGCAGACATGGATGTACCTAGCTATTCCGATATTATTATATGCATGCGAACGTCTGGTTCGTGTGTTTAGATCAGGATACAAGTCTGTAAAAATTTTGAAGGTAAGTTCTACGATCGTCAGTTCTGAATTAAGTTTTCTTCCGGTGATGGTAAGAATAGAGAAAGATTTATCCTACGAGTTTATACTTTGCAAAATCAGGTTGCGGTATACCCAGGAAACGTACTGTCTCTGCATATGTCTAAACCTCAAGGATTCAAATACACCAGCGGGCAATACATTTTTGTAAATTGCTCAGATGTTTCGCCATTTCAATGGTAATTTGTTGAACTTAAATTTGTAAAACAAGTTAAATTTCAGAACGATCCAACACGAATAATCTAAAATAATAAGTCTATTTTCTCTACAGGCATCCCTTCTCCATTACTTCAGCTCCTGGAGACGATTACCTGAGCATTCATATTCGTACTTTAGGTGACTGGACTGCACAACTCAAAGCTGTGTTCTCTAAGGTGAAATCTTTAAAATTTCAAATGCATATGTTAATTTATGAAATTAAATTTAATACATTAACCGTATGAAAAAGCTCAAGAAACCCATATTTGTATTGAATTCCAGTATCATATTGTGTTGGACAATTATAGGTATGCCAGCCTGCTTCAGTCGATCAAAGTGGCCTTCTAAGGTCTGATGCTGAACAAGCCAACAACAAACCCAGGTATATATATATATATGTGTATTATGACAACCACATACAATCAACTGCATATGTATATATATAATAAGGTACTAAATTTGACATCATGGCAGGATGCCTAAGCTCTTGATCGACGGCCCTTATGGAGCTCCAGCACAGGACTACAGAAACTATGATGTTCTCCTCCTCGTTGGACTCGGCATTGGTGCCACTCCCTTAATCAGCATTGTCAAAGATGTGCTTAACAACATTAAGCAGATGAAAGAAATTGAAGATGGAGAAATGGAAGGTGGAGTTAAAACTAACAAGAACAAAAAACCTTTCGCTACCAAACGAGCCTATTTCTACTGGGTCACTCGCGAGCAAGGTTCGTTTGAGTGGTTCAGAGGTGTGATGAACGAAGTCGCTGAATACGATCATGACAGGGTAATTGAGCTCCACAATTACTGTACGAGCGTCTACGAAGAAGGGGACGCTCGGTCTGCCCTGATCACAATGCTTCAAGCACTTCACCACGCTAAAAATGGTGTTGACATCGTATCCGGTACTCAAGTCAAGACCCACTTCGCCAGACCTAACTGGCGCAACGTTTTTAAACGTGTCGCGGTTAATCACGTTAATCAACGTGTCGGTAAGTATCGATTTTCATCCTTTGATCTTTAAAATCAACCAAAAAAAGAAAAATTAGGGTTTTTTGATTGATCTTTTGTTGGTACAGGAGTATTTTACTGTGGTGCACAAGGATTGACAGGGGAATTGAGAAGACTATCTCAAGATTTCTCCAGGAAAACTACAACCAAGTTTGATTTCCACAAAGAGAACTTCTAAAATTCATTTTAATTTATTTTTCTATGTATTTATTAATTAAATGTGATGTATTCCAATATATATATATATATATATATACATACAAAGTGTGATTTTTATTTAATTATAATAAAAATTGTATTCATTCATATTTTTAATAATAAAAAGATACTCATAATATTATTAAATTCAATTCAAAATATTCATACTTATTATTAAGATTATAAGTAATCAATAAGATCTGGGGTAAGACCGGTCCATGAATGAAAGTCAGAATACAAGCTTACAGAGCAGACACTTTGATGAACCGTCTTATTGCAGCTCTTAAGGACCCAGTTGACCCTAATTTTGATCGGTCATATGTTTTCGACTACGATATTAGAATACAAACTTACAGAGCGTACATTTTGATGAACCGCCTTATTGCAGCTCCTAAGAACCCAGTTGACCTCAATTCTAATCGGTCATATGTTTTCGATTACGACGTTAGAATACAAGCTTACAGAGTAGAAACTTTGATGAGCCGACTTATTGCAACTCCTGAGGACCCAGTTGACCCCAATTCTAATCGGTCATATATTTTCGACTTCGACGTTGTCTATACCAGTTGTGCGTGGAGAGTAACTTACAATTGCCGTAGTTTATTTTTAGTTACACTAAATTAAATATTATGGTTCGATTAGGTTTTTCATTTTCGGCCTATTAATTCTCACTCAAACAACTAACTTTGTTTTAAATATATTTATTTAAATATAAAAATTAGATTGATAAAATTGTTATTTTTATTATTATTGCAAGAAAATTTACATTTAAATTAATTATAAATTTATAAATAAATTTGAGACAAAATTTTGAAATTATTTCAAACATTATATTAATATTTTTTTTTATTAAAGAGAAATTGGGATAATTAAATTAAATTTATATATGAAAAATAAAATAGCATTTAAACAAAAAGCATCGAATGCTAAAATGATGGCTGTCCATTACATAATAAATAAATAAATAAAAGTTTTAAAAAGATTTTTAATAGAAAATTGAATAAATAAATAAATAAGTGATTCATATTGGTAGGTACTCTTTGCCTCTCGCCACTCCAGCGAGCACCGTCCTTTGTCTTTCCTCTCTCTTCAACTCCTCTGGATCGCTACTCTTCCGCTCCCTCTCTCTCTCTCTTTACTCTTTCCTTTAATGGCAGCAACAGAGGCCAAACCAGAAACTAAAACAGACCCAAAACCAGAAACTAAAGCAGAGGGTAAAGAGGTTGAAGAAAGCCCTGTACCTCCTCTCAAGTACAAGGTAAGCTCAAATTTGTTTCTTCCTCTTTTTTCTACACGTGTTGTTTTTTTTTTTTTTTCTTTTCGAGCTTTCTCGTGGCGATTGTTTTTACCTCTGTTTTTTTTTTTTTTTTTTTTTTCAGATATGGGTCTTGAAAGTCTCGATACACTGTGAAGGATGCAAGAGGAAAGTCAAAAGGATCTTGACGAACATCGACGGTATCCATTAACTAAACCTTGTCTTTTTTTTTTTCCTGGAAATTGGTAATTTTTATTAGTGGTATGAAGGGAATTTTTAGTTATTTTTTGAGCAAGAATGGTGAAAGTTCATCTTTTTTTTTTCTGATGTCTAATCTTCGTTTTTTTTTTTTCACTGTCCTACAATTTCAGTCTTGTATATTTAGCTCTGTTCCAGCTCCAAATCGTTGATTTTCAGCTTTTCTAATCTGGGTTTTCTTCATTTCCAGTGAGCAACAATCCCTCTTTCTCCCAGATCTTCTTCTTCTTTCCTTTCGCGTTTATTTTCCATCGTTTTGAAATGAAAGAAGAGGGTGATTAGTAAAGTTGTGTTTGCTGGAAAG